ATTTGTGCTCCCTATTTTAAGGAAAATATTTTGCCTGTGATAGGAAATTATGAGAGCTTATGAGTAATAATATTGCCTCAAACTTAACATTGCTGATCCATTCCCTTCATCGCTGTGTGTATCTGATAAAACAGTTGTTCACAGCTCAGTCCTTTCTTCTGCTCCCATTAACTGAAATTAGGTTGATTACTCGCTTTCCACAGGCCAGGGCTGTGTTTGCCTGTTTGTCTGATGTTGGTATCTGTACCTCTTGCTTAAAACATGTGGGTTTGATAGAGTTGCTAGCTGCTTGGCACTCCTATCTATTAATCATTTATTTAGGCGCTGAAGCCTGAGTGTTGGCCACTCAGTCTGCTTCTTCCTTAATGTGCCTCATCCCCAAGGGGTAGTCTCTTGGCCTTTAAGGCAGGTCGTCAGCTTTAGATTGTGTCAAAGTTACATTGCTTTTTGAGATACAGGTAGGGATTTCTCATGCCCAAACACATACCTTGTATGAGCCATGACATTAATATTAGTTTTGTAAGATACTTTCTAGTAAAAGAGTAATTCTACTAACATCTACAGAAGCAGGTGTCTTCTACTTTGAGCTCCTGAATTTCTTTTATCTGTATTCTCTTAAGGAGAAGGTGGATTTCACTGAAGTAAGACTTGCTAGTTGTCATGGTATATTCAGTTTGTCCCAAAAATGTAATGAGAAAGGACTGGTTTATTTTTGGAAACTTTCTTGCTGCTGCATGTCTCAGGCATGAATTGTCCAGGCGTCTGCACTTCTGCAGTTTGTAGGATGGAGGGAAGAGTAACGCCAACTGTGCTATGCTGCACAGATGATTGAATAGTTACTATATTCCTAAGTATTGGGGGAAGCACATTTACTAACCCTGTTGTAAGTACCAGTGGAAATTACACAAGAAATCTGTGCAGCGTTCTTTGCTGCCACTTCAGGCCTACTTGACGCATCTGGCAAGTGATGCAGCATTTGAAGGGTCCGTGCCCGAACATGTCATGTTCGACATGAATTTAAAATTATGTTTTTGAAAACTTTTGTTGATAGTGGTCTCTAAAAAGACTCGTATGGGGCTGAAGCTGGCAAAGAAGTGTAGCCTAGAAATTCACACAACCACAAAGAGTGGGAACCGGCTGCCCGGGCAGCTCAAGTATTCCTTAAATGTCCCACGTCCACGTCAAAATCCTTACCCTTGCCTGGCCTGCCTCTGTCCACAGGTTCTCTAACATTTATTCTCTTTATGAATCCTACACAATTGAGGGAGATTTCCACTGAGGCTAGTAGCAAGAAGAGGTCTAAAGAAAACATTGGATTGATACTTGTTGAAGATGGTCACCTGACTAACAGGGATGAATAAAAAGCGGAGGCATTCAATACTTTTTTTGCCTTAGTCTTTAATAATAATTATAAGCCTTGGGCTGCCTGGTCCTCTGAGTTGGATACTGTCCCTCACAGCATCCTTCTGGCCAAGTTGTCCAGCTGTGGGATGAACAGGTTCACAGTGTGCTGGGTGGAGAACTGGCTGAAGGCAGAGCTCAAAGGGTTGTAGTGAATGGGGTTACATCTGGCTGGCGACCAGTCACCAGCAGTGTTCCTCAGGGCTCAATCCTAGGGCCAGTGCTGTTCAATAAGTTTATCAACAATCTGGATGCGAAAGTTGAATGCACCATGAGTAAGTTTGTTGATGATACCAAACTGAGAGGTGCTGTTGACTCTCTTGAGGGACGGAAGGCCCTACAGAGCAGTCTAGATAGATTGGAGCATTGGGCTATGATTAATGGGATGAAACTTGACAAGTCCAAGTGCTGGATTCTGCACCTAGGACAGAGTAATGCAGGGCACAAGTATAAATTGGGAGAGGAGCGGCTGGAGAGCGGCCCTGCAGAAAGAGATCTGGGGTGCTGGTTGACAGCAGGTTCAATAGGAGCCAGCCATGTGCCCTGGCAGCCGAGAGGGCAAACCACACGCTGGGGTGCGTCAAACACAGCACAACCAGGCGGTCAAGAGAGGGGATTATCTGTCTGTATTCAGTGTTGGTGTGGCCTCACCTTGAGTACTGTGTGCAGTTCTGGGCCCCACCATTTAAGAAGGATTTGAAGGGCCCTGAATGCATCCAGAGGAGGACAACAAAGCTGGTGACAGGGCTGTAAGGCATGACCTGTGAGGGGTGGCTGAGGACTTTGGGTTTGTCTAGGTTGGAGAGAAGGAGGCGACCTCATTGCTCTCTGCAGCTTCCTGAGGAGGGGACGTGGAGGGAGGTGCTGATCTTTTCTCCCTGGCATCCAGGGACAGGATGCATGGGAATGGTTCAAAGCTGTGACAGGGCAGTTTAGACTGGATGTTAGGAAGCATTTCTTTTCTGAGAGGGTGGTCAAACCCTGGAAGAGGCTTTCTAGAGAGGTGGTCAATGCCCCAAGCCTGTCCGTGTTGAATAGACATTTGGGCAGTGCCCTTAACAACAGGCTTTAACTTTTGGTCAGCCCTGAAGTGGTCAGGCAGTTGAACTAGGTGATGATTGTAGGTCCCTTCCAACTGAAATAGTCTGTTCTGTTCTGTTCTGTTCTGTTCTGTTCTGTTCTATTCTATTCTATTCTCCTGGTAAAAGCAGCACAAATTTGTAAGTAGTAATGGTGCATTAATTACAAGAATGTTGTCATGATGGTGATGATGAATATTGGGGAAGCCAGGTACCAGCAAGTCCTCGGCTGAGACACCTGAGCAGCGATGCCTGATGGCAATCTCCTACAATCAGTTAGAGAATAAATACAGAATTAAGTTTCCAACAAAACCCCTCCTTCTTTTCTTACCTCCATCCTATCGAACTATATCAAACTTTCATGTATAAATCTGATGATGCTGATTATCAGTCATGGACTCATCATTGCCCTGGTCCATTTGCTACAAGAGATGATGTCTTCCAAGGAGGCATCCCTTACATACAGTCTGCATAGGATGGTCTCCTGCCTGTGTGTGTGCTTGGTGTTTGATCACAATTAATCTTTTGGACTAAGCAGGAGACACGTTTCAGAGGTTATTTTTGCCACTGAACATTCACTCCATACCTTACTCATTTTTTACAAGACGGGGATGAACATGCCTCTCTTTTAGTTAATGTGGATTAGCTGCGGGTTGTGCAAACTTCCTTTGTGCTATTTTCTCTTTCTCATCTGTTTCCCTATTCAAATCCATGCATGCAGTCGTGGGAGTTTTATGCTGCTTCTGCATGTGGGTTTTATTGCTAATCACAACAGAGATCACTGAAGGAGTGAGAAAAATGTAAGTTATATATTGCATTCAGTCAAGTACTTCTAATTCCCAGGCTTTAATGTGTTCAGCCTTTTTGGTTTTATGAATTGTCACCTCCAGGCTACCTAAATTCCATTTTAAAAAGAAAAAAAAAATCAGAGTTTTTCACATTTACCGATCTAATAATATTGTCTTAAATTCATCCATGTGTTTTGAGACTCTGCATCTCAGATGCTGCTATTCGATAAATTCACAGTTTCATTTAAAATCTGTAATAAAAAAAGCATATAGATGTGGACTAGGCCAAATGCAAAACCATGCTGTATATTTTAAAAAAGATTGTTTTTCAAAGTTAGGCCTATTTAACTTATATACTCTGTGGTTAATAGTTTCCTGAAAACAAGCTTCCTTCTAAAGGATTTTGATGGGGTTTGGGTTTTTTTGACAATACAGTAACCTAGGAAAATCCATTTGTGTTTTGTTTTTCCCTTAGCAAGTGAGATAAATTGCTTGAAAATCCAAATAAAAAAGAATGTTGTTTGCGTGGTTTCTTTTAATTTGCCGAGGTTTTGCCTTTTATTCCCAGTGTGCTGTGTCTCATTTAATTTTGTATGAACATTTGCCACTTAGGTGGGGTAAGGTTTCTCTTCTGCATTATATATCCTGGCTGGAGGAGCGTGGGTGCAAAACTCTGGGTGTTTTTCTGATAGATTCACACACTACAAAGATAACCAGAGCAAAAAGTGGCTGAGAAAAGGCAGTGTTGGTATTGCAGGCACTACATTCACAGCCTAGGGAGAAGAATCACTTTTCCCAAAATCCCATCTTGTGCTACCAAAGAAAAATATCTCTTTATTCAAGCTTTGGGTGAGGCTGTTTACTTTATTGTGAGATAGCACTTGTATGTTAGATAATATTTCCATACTGGCACCGGAGCTGGGAATTTATTATTTGAAGAGCTGAAACGCCTAGCTGATAAATATTACAGGCAAACCAGGAATCTTAATTTTCTTGTTACTTATTTTCATGCTGGATTTCTAACTGGGTAACATTCATGTGCAGCAAAAATGGTTATGGGGGGATGAATGGGAAGAGGAAGACAGTCAGCATGGGGCCTTTTCTCCAGAAATCATTATATGACTGTGCCTTATGTATCTTTTGCTTTAGCTCTGTTAAAACAGTGCAGGGAAAACAAAATTTTTAAAAAGCAGTGGGTTTTGGTATGGTTTTTTTTCCCCCAGCTTTTAACTTGGATTTTAAATATCCTCCATTGGCATTGCTTTTCAAAAGCAGTTTTTTCAATGCGAGGAACATCCATGAGCAGACTCCTCTCTGTAGTAACTACTGTACATCGCTTGGTTGCTCACTGATAATAAAAATCCAGGGAGGATGCAGGAGCAAAGAACTTGTTTGTATTTAACATATTATACAGAAAACTAGGGATCTGGGGGAGAGTACAAACCAAACATCCCCTGTTCATGGTGCCATGGCTATATTAGACCAGAGAGCTACCGAACAATTTCTGGAAGCCAGAACTGGAAATTCTTACTGAAGCTTCAGTCAGGAAAAACTTCCTTGGTATCACTCACATTTAAGCCTTTGAAACTATATACGTGTAAATTTTAGTTGCTTTGCTTAATTAGGGTCCTTCTAGTCAGCTGTTTTAGTTTTAGTTTGGTTTTTTTCCCAGCTACTGAACTACACTGGTTCAAAAATTTTTTTTCTTTTTTTTTTTTTTCTTGGTGCTCAGATGAGTATAGGATCAAACCAGTGGAAGAGGTCAAATACATGAAAAATGGGGGAGAAGATGATCAGAAAATAGCAGCCAGGAACCAAGAAAACTTGGTAAGGATTGAACTTATCGCTTATCTAATGAAATAACATGGCTCTGCTTTTGTAATGAAATATGCAACGTGCAACACATTCAAGCTACAGCTTACATGCGGCAAGAGGATTTTCTCGAAAATGTCATAACTCTTTGTGAAGCCTGCATAGAAGGTGCAAAATGTGACTTTTTTCTGCTTGTCTTTCTGAATTAGGCTCTACTTGATCTTGGAGTGAGTACTTCCACGATTGTACTCACTCACCTCCTTTGCAGATCTGAATACACGCGCTTTGAAATGCATGTGTCTATATTGCAAACAAGTTGGTAGTAAACCAGCAGTGCACTGCCATTAAGAAAACGACCTACTTATGCAGATATTATTTGCTCTGTGCTTTCTGGTTTTACATATTTTAAAATTCACAGGGAAGGCAGTTTGGAATAGAAAAAGCAATATATTGATAACACAGCAGTTGGAAGAATCATTTTGTGTGTCTTTCTTTTTCCCTGATTTGAGCACCTTGCCAGCTCATAGTTCCACTTACGGGAAAGAAGTCTCAGGTAAACTCTTGGTACTACTTGAAATAGCTAGGATGCTGTTGAAGTGGCTTAAAAATCGCAGCTGAGTCACTTTTGGCATTTCTGAGAAGTTGTTTCTTCTCTTCTAAAGCTGAAGGAATGTCAGTTTTGTAATTGGTGACTGGGGCTTTGCCCAGTTTAACTTTTTGAAGACATCTCACAATTATAATAGTTGGGCGCAAAATTTCCCATCTAGTTCCACTCATTCATTGCAGCTTTTCTTCACATAGGATTGTTTGGGTTTTTTCCCTCCATCAGTAAGACCGAAGGGGGACATCATCATGAGATTTCAGTGGAGCCATAACCATTCTCACCAGCTGAGGATTTGCCTTTTGCCATCATTGGGCAGCTGTACAAAAATCCACTGTTTGGGATTTTTTCTTTTCCTGAAGATGTGAGTGAGCTGCTGGCAACCCGGATACTTTATATTCCCTCTTCTAGACACACGTACTTCCCTTACACAATTACATATAGAAATAAAGAGTTTATTTTGCTGTGTGCTGTCCTTACGTCGTTGCTTGACCGGTGGTTGAGCAGCACACAACATGATTTCTGTTTTGGTCTCCAGATTAGGTATTTGCCACCTGCAATTTTGCATTGCTGATGCTCCAATGGATGGCGCAACTTCAGCTGGCAGCAGAATTTGGGGATTTTTTTAGGGCCTCAGAAACATTGCTGAGAACATCACCTTTTCTAGCAGCATCCACAGTGCATTCAGCATTATTGCCAACGTAAGCACGTTTGTTTTGAACTGGAAGAAGTGTGACTGCAAGAATTTTTTGCTCATTTTAGAGACCCCAGTGCTTTGTTGATAAACAGAGAAAAAGGAAAAATGAGCACAATCCTCAGGTTTTTTGATAATAAACGGAAAAAGTCTAGCAGGTTAAATTTTAAACTACAGCCATCAGCTGTATTTAAATTAGAGTATTTGCAGAAGGTAACAGCCACTTGAAGGACAATAAGGAATAGTTCAGGAAAGTTTAGGTTGGCTGCAGTTGTTTTCAAAACTAGATACAGATATTTCATACTTCTGTTAGTGCCTGCTTTCTTGTAGCACCTAAGCGTTAGCCTGATTAAATTTAGGAAGAGACATTTCTACAGCACAGTGCTTATTATTGACGGGGCAAGTTTGATGGGAGTGGCGGCTTTGTTGGAAAATGTAACTTAATGTGGATTGGAGGGCTGGTATAGCTCTCTTTCTGTCGTATTTATTGGGAGAAAAAAAACATAGTAACACAAGAAAGTCTTCAATCAGACGGGATGTATATACTTTAAAACAAAAACCATCTTGCACACCAAAAAGGCTTTATTTTCCTTTTCCTCATCTTACTGTAAGGAGATTACATTGTCTGTAATGTATGCAGCTTTTTAATCCTGGGAATTGTCAGGTCCTCATCACTCCTGGATTTTTCTAAGGGGTTTCACTGTTCAAGTTCTCCTTAGTAAACATGTTTTAGTTCGCTGCTTAGAAGATGGGTTAAGCTACCCATCACTCAGGCTTTAGTTTTCTTAACGTGTGAAAAGTTGGCAAGTGCTTACATAATCCCATCTTCTCATCAGCCATTTCCAGGCAACAGAAATTTTAGGAACAAGAGAAGGCGGTGGGAGAATCGACCGGCCCTTTTCCCTCCTCTCTTGTTTCTTAATCCCACATTTCTTTATTGTCACAGGGCTGCTAATTCACATCTCCTTCAGAAACGTGACCCAGATGAAATGTATAACCTGAATGTCATTATAGTTGGTTCCCTGGGAACTGCTGCGGTGTGGGTTATCTTATCCTCAGATACTTGTGCTTGAATTATGCTGTTCAGATGCCATCGAATTTTTCAGTCCTGTTATCATCACTGTTACTTTTCTAAGGTATTTTGAAGTCTCGCTTAAAAAAAAAAATCTCTGCTCAAGTGAAAATAAAACCAGTTCCCTTACAACTTAGGCTCTTTGATGTGGTGCCGTCTCTCTGCCTTTGGTGTTGCCTATTTCTGAGTCAGTGAAAAAAAAAATGTCATGCAAGTAGATAAAGAGAATGGGAGGACGTGGCAGACACCAGGCAAATTGTCATTTTTTATTGGGGTTCTGTGGTCAGGGTCCGAGGATTTTATTCTGTTTAGAGAGCTGGAGATGGGCTGGTACAAGCGTGGGTATCCCTGGGAGAGACAAGGCTCTGTCAGTGAATTACCAGCTTCTCAGCTTCAGCCTGAGGCTTAAGCAGGGCTCAAAACTTGAGCGAGGCTGATATTGTAAAGCAGAAATACCCCTCAGATGTACTGACCACAGGAGGGACTGTGCTAGGGCTGTATACTAGGTGAAAGAGAAGATGCTCCATGTGAAGACATTTTCTGGCAAAATCAAAGGCCTCCTTGAATTAAAATGTAGGCTCTTGACAGGGGGAGGGGGAAAAGGAAATAAGAAAAGATAAAGAAGCCAAGCTTGCTTCAGACTCTGTCATCATCAGTTACTGTTTTCCTGCAGTTCCCTCATATCCGTCAGCCTGATTCACTTCTTTACCCAGGTTGTTTCTGCTGTTCTCCACTTGCCACTGGGATCACTCTGGTCCTGGTTTCATTCCTGGTACCTCTGGCTCCCAGCACCTTTCTGAGCATCTTGCCCAGGCATCTCTACCCTCAAAAGCAAACCAGTCATGTTGCCCTTGGTGGGAAGAATCTTGAGCTGACATTAACACATCCTTGTAGGCTGCAGATGGGAATGGGATGCAGCAGGATTAGGTGCTGGAGACCCGGGGTTACGCTGCATGCTGGCACTCTGCACCACGCACTTCAGTAGCTGCTCAGCTAAAACAGGGACGTTTGAGTCAGATCTGTAAACAACTAGTAGGTAGATAAAAGAAGTAATTTGTACTGGTTTTCAAGACTATATGTGTTTTTTAATCAGAAGAGTTGGACTCTCTCTATATATAAAACTACAGGAATTGTGCTTATTTTCAAATGAGATGTGATTGTGCATAGAAGCTCATGAGTGTAGTGTTAGTCCCCAAGCTGAAGAAGCAGCTGTGATGGTTATTTGTACATTTGGAAGCAGAAGGGCTGGCTGTGATGGTTTGTCAGGGTCCTAGACTGGTGTGGCTGGGAAGGCAGGTGGGCTGGCTTTGCCCGCAGCGGGTCAGGCTCTGGCAGGATTGTTGGCTCAGGCAAAGCCGAGCCAACGTGCCAAGTGAGTTGATGAACCCCTGTGTGTTAAAACTAAACCACAACTCCCCATGGATCCACAATGGCTCAGCAAAACCCTCCCAGGGCAGAGGTGAGCTCTCTTGTGTTTCCCCATCTTTTTGGGGGAGACTGTGGGTTGTTAATTCAGTACTGAACAGTTGTTTAAGGGTTTTGTGATAAGGGTTCTCCAAAACAAACTTAGACCAACTTGAGTTTACTGCTCAGCAGATCTGGATGGGGATTTTTTGGCCCTAAATATCAGCAAAAGTTAACTGTGGCTAATGATACATGTCACATACCTGGTTTTGTTACTTTGGAAAGCTAAAATGCTAAAAATCAGGAAATATTAATGTTTTAAAAATCTAAATCTATTCTAAAACATACATTCTATAAGCAGGTATGACCGGAATAGATAACACATTTTACCTTTCTAAAAATCTTTTAATTTTTTGTTTGGAAAGAACTCACTGTTAAGCTCTACAACATCACGTTAAATATACAGAGTACAACCATAACAGCCTATTTAACATTCATAATAGGACAAATTTAATTGTCCTCATTTGCATACTCTCGCAGCAGTAATGGCTTTCCATTGTAAAATTTTATTGCCAGAAAAGATAAAATAAGAAGGTGTGGCATATTCGTGCAGCTTAGCCTTGCTTTGGCAAACTTGATGAGCTGTATCAGATTTCCTCTGAGACAGCCTGTAAGAGTACAGGCACCTCTGGAAATATCAAATACCTAAAGCTATATTTAGTTGTGTTAGGGGGTAGTTAACTCGGTATTTATTGCAGTTCAGTTTTTGGATGGTTTTGTAACTTTTACTAATAGAAATCTTTTTCTGCTCTGCATTGGCACAAAAGGCTACTTATTGTGATTTTTATGCTTTGTTATCCAAACCCTCAAAACAATTGGGCATAATTCTCTGTTTTATCCTGAAGCTCCATAGTGAAATTGCATGTTAGAGCTTGAGATGAATTCCTACTGGGGTTAGAAGAAAATTGCCTCTCCCCATTGCTCTCACTATCGCTCACTCTGCTTTTAATAACACAAACAATGTTGTGCCTTTTTTTTTTTCCCAGTAAGTATAAATTTCCACTCCAGTTACCTGCAAATGTAATTTCTGTTAGCCTTGCATGCACTGTTATTTCCTAACTATGTCTCGAGCATCTCAACCCAGATGCTCTTCTCCATTTATCACTCAGCTCTGTCATACTTGGTATTGCAAAACCTTGGTATCCGTAGCTCTGTATTCAACACCAGTTATCAATTTCTGCAGT